CTCTTACGCAGAGGGAATCATTGAGAGCTACTGACCCCAACTCTGTTGAATTCTCATCGGCACCATGGGCAAGTGGCACGTCGTTAAAGGGCCTTTCCTTTCGGATTTGTAAAGCATTGTCCTAAATGTACGATTGATCATAATCACAGTAAATCACAGCGGCAAGCCAGCAAGCCATTCCGGTGTGGCTACGTACGGCGCAAAAGAAGTTCAACAATTATTGTTGGTTGGCATTGGCGTTGCTAAAGTATTAAGACGCGTGTGCTGCCCTCTGGTGGCTGGCGACTGATATGGAATGGCATAGAATGTCGCTCAGAGCTTCGTGTTTGACGATCCAGCCTCGTAGATGAAACACATTCCTGCGTAGGGAGCTGGTAGGAACGTTGGGTTGCTCGGTCAATGGCCAGGGTCAACGGCGGCGTGGTGTATTCCGCAAATACGCCCGACTGTCAGGGCGGGCACAAGCTGGCGTGAGTAGGTTAAACGTTGAGTTTTATAAGGACACCATGGGGTGACCAGCCCTTCCCCACCCAGCCCCACCCCTCCCACCCCCCACCTAGCCCCACCCTTCCCACCAAGCCCCTCCCCACCCTCCCCACCCAGCCCCTCCCCACCTTCCCCACCCAGCCCCTCCCTTCCACACCCAGCCCCACCCTTCCCACCCAGCCCCTCCCCACCTTCCCCTCCCCACCCACCCAGCCACTCCCTCCCCACCCAGCTCCTCTCCACCTTCCCCTCCCCACCCACCCAGCCCTTCCCTCCCCACCCAGCCCCTCCCTGCACGAAGGACGGACACAATAATCCCCTGTGGGCTGGTGGAACCAGTGGGTTCCTACCAGTATAACGTGTTCTTTAAATGAGACGTAAATGTTACCTCCGTCACCCTGAGCGGCACCAGTAGTGTAGTGTATAGTGTAGCGTATAGCAGTGTATAGTGTCGTGTATAGTAGTGGAGTGTATAGTAGTATAGTCGTGTATAGTGCAGTGTATAGTCGTGCATAGTGTAGTGTATCGTGTAGTAGTGTATAGTGTATAGTAGTATGTAGTAGTGCTTGAGTCCGTCACGAGGGAGGTGTGGACCGCCACTACTCAACACGCTGACGCCGCGACCCTTGCGGACTGAGAAACGAACATTCCGCGCCATGGCCCTATTGCCATGGCTAAAATATGATTTGCGTTTCGGGCATGTATTTACTATGACATGTATTTCCTATGAAGAAGGGCCATTGGCCGAAACGTCACCTGTTCCATATTTTTTATTAAAGTTTAGATTTGTCGTTTGTTGTTGTTGTTGCACCGCTGGCTATGCAGTGTCACCATATAATCCATCAGAAAAATATACGTTTCTCATCGTGCAAACAGCAAATTGACAGCTGGGGAAATATCAAAAATTGAAACAACAAAAAGTGTAATCGAGTACATCGTTTAACTCTTACGACTCGTGCGCCTTTCGGCCACGCTTTCACGCGCGCGTGTCAGACGAGCGTCAGAGTGCACGTGTCTGTCCATTCGCCCGCTTGCCACGTGCAACGAGTAGAGCAAGGCTGGCGAACTATATGATGGCTGTCGATGATGGTGAAGCAACATTCACATCATCGCCCCGTTCGCTTGCATGCGTTATAACATCTATTACAATGATAGTAATATCGTAGTAGAGGTAGTATTTTATTGTGCAATTTTATTTAGGGACTCCGTGTTGTATTGACGTGGTCTGGGACTCTTTTTGCTGGAAATTTATGTACTTGTGGAATTTAACTTATATACTATTCATTTATTTAAGGAGCGGCACGGTGACGAGTTGTCATCTTCCTCGCCTGGTCTACAGGAAGTCGGTGGTTCGATCCCGACCCTGATGCCTGTATATTTGGAGTTTGCATGTTCTACCTTCCTGGTCGCATGGATTATTTTCTGAGGTTCCTCCGGTTTTTCCCTCCACATTGAGAAACATGCGCTTAGACTATTCGGCTGCTTGTAAATCTCCACGTGATAAGCCACTTTGTTGAGCGATCATTCGTGGCCAGGCTTCTGAAAATAAGCGAATGGCTCAGTAAGCTTTACCTGCAGCTGCAAACACCTGTGTATGCACCACACCTCGGCAAACCACACAAACAACACAAGCAGCAAAAACAAACTCAATACACCCGTCAGTAACCCAGCCTCCAAAAGGAAAGACATAAAACAGGGCTATGCCCCTTCTGCGTAGTTTTTTTGTCGGTTATATTCTTGTGTTCGCCACTGCCAATGCAGCGTCACCAAAGTGTTCGTTTAATTTTCGACCGCAGAAATCGATTATTGATTTCGAATCGTGAGCAAGGATCGTGACCTGTCATTTTTTTCCGATCGCGTTGGATGTCGAACACGTACGTGGACTTACGTGAATAGAGCTTGTGGCATCGGTTGACACGAATTGCATTCGGTAACAAACTGTATCGATCTGCATGATGATGATGAGTGGATAGCCGATAGAGTCGATCACGACACCACTTTGGAGAGGACAAACCTGGTGCCAGAAGCGTTATAAACCCTGTAATTAATTCCGTACCCCCAAAAACCCTGGCACGGTTGTCTCACTCGGAATGTGAGCCAATCGCGTCACGAGCCCTGGAGGAAATCGTTGAATCTAGATTCTTAGATAACTGCACGAACGCATGATGCGCCTGTGATCGATGCACCTGAAACGCGCCCGACCTAGACGGACCTCGAAAGCCAAGCAGGGATTTTGAGCCTGGATAAAGCTTGTATGGGTGATCACGCCGTACATCAGATTGTGATTTAGAGATTTTTTTTTAAACAGTAATATATTATTTCTTATCGGGCATCAATACCGTACCGAGGGCACGGCGAATCGGTGCGACCGCCCCGAGCCCACGCTTTGGTGGGCCCGAACTTTGACGCGAACGTACCAGATGTAATACTTTCGGTTTATCTTCTTGGTTCTTTCGGTAAAGTCACGTAGAATGGAAATAATAAAATAATAAAAATATAAAACAATACAATTCTGGATATCACACCTGATGATGATTACTTGTGTTGCAGTCGAAACGTCGCGAGAATGTTATTGTTTAATATTTTTATTATTTTATTATTTCCCTTCTACGTGACTTTACCGAAAGAACCAAGAATATGAATCCCTGCAGTCACGAAAGCTTTAAATCAAAATGTTATGTTAACCTAATAAAAGACAGCGTCCGAATTTCCGACAGACCTGTTCTTCACCTGACGACGGCTGCTTGCGTTGTGGCCGAAACGTCGTGAGAATTTTATTTTATTGTTTAAATTATTTTATTTTATTATTTCTCTTCTACGTGACTTTACCGAAAGAACCAATAAGTTGAATCCCTGCACTCACGAAAGCTTTATATCGAAACTTTCAGTTTAGTTTGCAGGCGTCCGGGTGCACCACACGGTGGGATTCGCCCCGGGCCCCGCACCGTCAATCACCCCCCCCACCCCCCCATGGGCGGTCCTATCCACTCCTGGTTTAATGTCTCATCTTTCACGGTGATGCGATTTAACAATCCCATCTATCTCCAAGCCTGCCTGACGTCCTCTCGGGCATATTCACTCCTTTGGTAGTCACTCCGTTGTTAGTCTCGACCACCGGCCATCACCCCCGTCTAGCGTGTCCTTCCCAAACCCCCTTTTCCTGACTCCCAATATCATATCTCAAGCTCTACGTCTCTAACTTAGGCATGTCGTCCTCCCGTGCACGTGTTCCCCTTCCCGTCTCAGCGTGATTCGAACGAGATGCACTTTTTGCAAATCTTGCCGCACTTTGCAAATGCTCTTCCACTTTCTTTGTCCGTGTCTATGTTTCTGATTCGCGCCACATAGCGAGCCGAAAGCTAAACTAATGAACCACAGCAACATACCCACGTGCCAATCATTACATAAGTAATAGATTGACGAAAATGCTGAAGTTCCAAAAAGAAATAAAATAAATGCGCGCGCGCGTGTGTGTTACATAACGACTTTCCCCAGCACTGCCGCGGGAAGGGCCTCTGCTGGTAGGTAGTTGGCATATTCTTCCACGTTGGTTAGACGTAGGAGTACCCACATTTCTCCCCACCACACGTGCCGTGTAATTCGACCGACTGTGATGTACCCCCTTATCCTGCTGGGTGGACAGAAGCAGGGGGCAGGGGGGTGGGGATTCCAAAACACGTGATCCATTGTTGTTAACTACCACACCGTCGAATATAATTATCTATAATCCAAACATTTACTTTTGGCCTCGTGACGTTATTAGCTTACTTAGTATCATGTGTACTGACATTCCACTGATTTGACACCTGTAATTTACGAGCTGTGTGAGGTGTGGTTCGGATGCTTGTTCATCACCGGATCACCTGAAGTGCGCCAGAGCTCGTCAAAAGCTAAGCAGGTTGTGGCTGGATAGTGATTGGGCGGATGAGCACGATGCGTTACACGCGGAGCGACGTTATGTGAAATGAAGATCATTACGATGAAAAAAAATCCATTGTTGTACTGTACTATGTCCCCACGTCTATGCTCCCTTCCTGCCAGTAGTGTGTTGACACCTGTAAACATGTGTATTGTGTATCTCGTATGTAATACACTATAATTTGTATTTACATAGCATCTACGATGAACAGCATGACATTAAATAGGATGGCGCGGTGACACCATAATGCCGGCTCCCTGAGTTCCATTGCTGACCACGGCTACCATCAGTGGTGAGTGATATCCGAGCCGGTTTTGGGCACCACTGCACCCGACCCCGTGCTATCCAACGTATAGTCGAGCATCACCCACGACCCACACCGTGCAGAGAAGCAGGCAGGCCGTCATCCAGCAGTGGACTGACGTACACCGACACACACGTGTGCCTTCCTTGCTCGCCAGCTGATGCCACAGCCACTCCCGCACCGTTTCCAAACGCACGCAATCATTCGACCCGAAATGAAACCAACCGGCAAACACGCTGCGTGAGTATTACTTTAGTCAGCATCGGTTTTTTTTTGTTTTTCAAATATATTTTAGTCGCAGCCTTGGTTGGCCGGGCGGCAGAGGCTACGTCGCACGCGGCCTGTAATCCAGCACTGTGGAGACAGCATGCGACCAGGGTTAGTGGATCACACACAGATGTTGCAAAATTCCCGTCCCGTGGGCGTCGAGTAGCCACTATCGCGCAGCCCGTCAGGAGAAAGCGGTTACAGCAGAACGCGCGGCCTCATATCATCTGTCCCGTCTGTGTGGGATAGAGCGTTACCCCCTCGCACGCGTGGGCTTTTCTCCGCGTGTGATAAAGTGTGCACCACTTTGTGGGAAAGTCAACAGTGGTTGCTCGGATGCAGAAACTCGCTCCCACCCACCATAGGAAACGTGGAATTTCTACCACCGGCTCACGGGGGCTGTAGACGGGACACGGGCAAAATATCATCTCTCTTGACTTTTCACTTTTTGAACTTCGTTCGCTGAAATGAACACCGTCACTTCCCCGCCTGCGCGCCGGTGTACTCTGCATCCAGGGCAGCGGTGACGGTGGTGGAAGAGGGGGGCGAGGGGGAGGCGGTGGCGGTGGTGGTGGAGGAGGAGGAGGAAGAAGAGGAGGCGGTGATAATTGCCCTGCGTCGATGCTTACGCAGCGCGGCGCTGTCGGGATGCAGCAGTCGCAGGTGGTCGTGGTAAGACTCCGGATCGCTGGCCGTGAAGCCACAGATCTCGCACACGAACAGCTTGGAGCGGCGCTCCTTGAACGAGTAGAGCTGCTGCACGCTGTGAATCTTGTGCAGGTGCGACTCGAGCGAGCACCGCTGCGTGAACGCCTTGTCGCACGCCTGGCACTTGTAGGGGCGCACACCTGCACAGGCGGGGGTGGTGGGTGGTGGTCAGTAGCGTAACGAGGGTGGGGGCCTTGCCCCCCCCCCCCCCCTGGTGGCCAAAGCAACGAGTTGGGGCCCCCTTAACAATCACCGTGAGACATGTTTTCAACATCAATGTACAGGAACAAACACTTATTATGTGAAGACGGAGCGCCCCTACAGCGTTAAGTGTTCGAGACCGTGAACGTGACGATGTGATGAGACAAAAGATGCCGCGATATAGAAAAGAGCCTCTAGGTGCGACCGTGCGAGACAAATCAAATATTGGGGGGGGGGGACACCTGACCGATTGCCGCACCCCCTGAGCTGAAAATGTCGTCACTCCGCCACAGGTGGTGGTCACAGCGTCGGTGGTTATCGAAATAATTTAAGTTGATTTTGTCTAACCAGGTGAGACCTCAAGAGATCACGGGATGTCAATCTCATTTTGCAAGCATCATACACTGGCGACGCATGTGCACGTGTGCTCGCGTGCAATACATTGGGCCGCTGTGATGATGGTGAATTGAACTCAGTGCGCACGTGGACTGCACGTGGTCTGCGTTCGGTGTGAAAGGGTGGAACGATTCCCCACTTACCATGAATTCAGGGTCACTCTTCGGCTCAAGTGTCGATTCATTTTTTTTTCAGTAGCGCCTCTGTTGGCTGTAGCGGCGTCAACCCCGCTGCATGTTTTAATTGTATTGTTCTGTCCTTATCCAGGTGATGACTCATGGGGCATAAGTCTGACAGTAGGGGGCGATGTCTAACCCAAATCGAGTAATTTGTGGGTTTGTTTCGAATTTCGCTAATTTGGCAAGCAATGGCCCACTTTTTTGCGATTGACGTCACTGAAGCAGACGGCGCGTAGTGTTGACATGGTTACTACACCGGCAGTACTAATCAGGGCGGCCGCTGGAAACCGAACCGTGAACCTCTTGCATGCGACCTTTGTAGAGACACAGAGTATGCAGTTGTCGTATCGCCATCCTGCCACACTAACTAATGTGGCCACAATGTGTCCTCTGTTGAGTTTGTATAATTATACACGCGCTATGGTAGGGTGATTATCCGGAGATGTATTTCTCAATCGATATTTCATTTCAAAACGCTGCTCGGCTGACTTGCAGTCGGCACTATTAGCGTTAGGTAATACCACTGTAGTCCCCTTCACTACGCCCCCTCTCCCATCCCTGTGCACAGTCGTGTTTCCGCTCCTCTTCCCTCCTGGCTGCCCTCCATTGGCATAAACTCCCACTCCACATCAAACAGGCAACTCCACGAAAGATGTTCCGTTCCTGCCTTAAGACTCATCGCTTTTTAATAGCTTATCCCTCTCCTACTTGTTGTCCTCTTTCTTAAAACCTTAACCACCACCCCCTCTTCCCCTCCCTAACCTCGCCATCGTCTTTTTACCTATCATCACCCTTATTAACCATGCAAAAAAAGTTTTAACTACACATATTTGTACCATCTTATTTCACAGGTACTATATTCTACTTTACCGAGTGTTGACATCCCCAGCGTTTAACAGTACTCTCCTTTTTGTATTTGATTGTCAACCAACACCGGGTAGTACAACAACATGTGCACCTATTGTTCTCTTTCAGCCCCCCCCCCACAACACGTTCCATTCAGATAAGCCCCTCCCCCCTCCTCCCCCCTTAACTTCTATTTAAGAGCTTGTCTCTTGGAATTTTGCCTCACTTGATACAGTAAATTTAGCTGTGACGGTCCCACCTGATGACGGAGACTTATGTTGCCTCCGAAACGTCGTGATTTATTATTTTATTTCTATTATTTTTACTATTTATATTTTATTATTATTTTATTACTTAGTTATTAATTTTTTACCTACGTGACTTTACCAAAAAAACCTAAGAGTATCACCCTTTCTTGCCATGCCTTCCCCTCCCCAACACTCAAACCTCATCCATTTTTCCCATCAGCCCCACACGAGTGTACCATGTTTAATTCTTGTTAAGCAATCTAGATTTGAAGTTTTCGTGACTGCAGGGATCCATACTCGTTGGTTCTTTCGGTAAAGTCACGTAGGTATAAAATAAAATAAATTAAATCACGACGTTTCGATTGCAACACAAGCAATCGGCATCTCCCACTTCAGCAACAAGTGTTCTTGCTGTGGTTTCCCCACCTGATGATGATTGCCTGTGTTGCAATCGAAACGTCGTGATTTAATTTATTTTATTTTATACCTACGTGACTTTACCGAAAGAACCAACGAGTCTTGCAAAGCGCTTTGACAAAGGCGCTATATAAAATCTGAGAACAGAAAAGTGCACGGCCCACAATAATCCTATACTCCTGTAATGAACATGTTTTTTTTTCTCATAAATCCGTTCATCACCAAGTTGTCACTTGAGGCTGAGTCGACCAAATAATCGTCATTGGTGTTCACCGTGAGCGGGAATTGAACTCGGTTCGCTGGCATCGTAACACCGTCCGCTAAACCACTACACTGCCGCTCCCCAACCGATGCTACGGTCACAGTACAGACACACACACACACACCGCTGTATAAATGACAGCATCTGTCAATGCGTCAGCATCTGTCAATCCACCCCTGATTAGCACGGTCGGCTACGTACGGTGCGAAAGAAGTTCAACGTGCACACGTGCAATGAGTAAAGAAGGCCTCTTCACGCCATAGCGGAGAGTGTGCGGGTGGGTGGTGGGCGGGTTCCGCGGGTGGCCGACTTCATATAACAATGCATAATATTTATGTGCAAAAAACAACATTGTCGCGACCATACTTCACCACGCCGGCGCTCCCCCTCACCCGTGTGCGTGCGCACGTGCCGCTTCAGGTCGAAGGTGTCGTTGAAGCCCTTGGCGCAGAAGGGGCACACGTGTCGCTTGACGCCGCTGTGGCACTTGACGTGGCGGTTGAGCATGCGCTGCAGGTTGAAGTGCTTGCCGCACACGGGGCACGAGAGCAGGCCCGGCTGCCCGCTCGCCGCGCCGTTCACCTGCCCAGCACAGAACGACAACGCCGAGAGGTCGGTATGCAATGCACGGTGACACCCCCTCCCCCCCTCCCCCCCCTCCCCGTTGTACGCCGCTTCGCAAATACGTTGCCCGCTTTTTTTTGTTACTTTTAATACCGCCACTTGCGTCGCTAGGAGGACGTTGCTGAGTCGTGTCTTGTGCTTGTGAGTGTCTTGCGCTGACAAGCCTCACTCCGTTGTCAGCCGGACAATATTGAGGTGAGAAATTACGCCCGAGATCGGTGACACGCCATATATTTCTCGTGCAGTAATACCCCGATATACGTCTGCCCCTTTCTACGTCGTTTCGCAAATACGTCGTCGCTACCTGATTTGCTGTCGCCTCAACCCACCCACACTTACGTCGCTGACGGCATCATCCGTCTTTGTTCGTATCCGTCACCTCCACCACCTGCTACCCTGTAAATCGCTTTGATTTTACGTCGTTTCGATATTCGTCGTCGCACCTCTCAGGAACGCATCCCCGACGTAAAGCGGGCTATTACTGTGTATAGATGTAATGTTATTGCACTCGTAGCACGCGCGCCCTTAAGACGTGACCGACCGTCCGTCCCTCTCTCCCTCCCTCCCTCCAGACCTGACGTCCTGCCTTGCCCTTCAGCCAGCCAGTCGGCAAAACTTTTTTTCTCTTACTTTCGTATGAAGCGTGATTATTGGTGAGGTTTCAAGCAAAGGCCCCCCTTTTTTCACGCATAATAGGCAACGTGTCGGAGAATGGTCCTTCAACTATGGTTAGCGACGTCCTGGCCAATGACTCTGCATATAAAATAGGTGACGTGTCATACAATGGCCCTTCTTCATTACAGAAATACCGTCTCGCCTCACTTAGCTGAGAGATAATATCTAATGAAAGGGCTGTGAAGAAGGGACATTGTCCGAAACGTCACCTCTTGTTTTTCTCTGTTCATGCCAGTGTCATTGACGAGTTTGTTGAGGTTTTTGTTGGGTTGCGTACCATTGCCGATAGAGCATCACGTGATTTTTTAAACCATTAATGTTTCATTTAGTTGTGTCTGTTTCCCACCATTCACCCCTCATTCTGTTATAGGTATCATTTCATGATACGAAGAATCCATTCGAAAGTCACGCAGAGTACGCAGTGTACAGCTTCGTGTTAGAGAACGCCCCGCAGAGGCAGACACTACGGAGCTACTCCTGAACACCTATCGAGTGACCTGTGATGTTTTCTTGAATAAAGTGCCGAAGTGAAATTTAGCAACATTGGTGCAGAAGGGAAAATTAGCGCAATTAAGTGCATTCATCGGTGACTGCGCTGATACCATCAACTCGCTACTCTTGAGAACCCAATTTAATCACTGGCGGCTGAATCATTGATTCGAACCCAGGATCTCAGTGCTGTAAACTCTCAGACAACTTGACACATCATGGGACCTCCTTTGCCAGTACCAACTCTAAAGAAAGCTGTCTCTGGTGTGGACCAATCAGTTTCAAGGACAATGCATAAATAATCAGAGTTGTGTTTTTTGTTTGCATTTGACTGCAAGTATTGTGGTTAATGTAAGCATGATTCCTTGCAAAAGGTGTTAGTTTTGTTGCCAGAAAAAAGGGGAAAACCCCCTATTATTAACTTGACACATCGTTTGTCTCCCCGCCCACCCGGCCTGGTGCAATCGCCGTCACGGCCGGACCTGCACCGCCAACGGTGGCCACCACCGCCACCACCACCACCACCACCGCACCTGCAGCTGAGTGTCCCAGGCCGGCGGGCACCCGTGCGCCTCTCGTCGAGACATTATCGACACCAGGCTCTGGATCTCCTGCCACCCCGCGTGGAAATCGGCGGCTGCCGCTGCCCGCAGCTCGGCAGGCACGGGCAGCGGCGGGGGTCCACGGGGCAACACGCAGCCGTGCGGGTAGGGCCGCCCGGGTAGGGCCGCGCCGGTATGACCGTGCGGGTAGGGCCGCCCGGGTAGGGCCGCGTGGGTAGGGCCGTGCGGGTAGGGCCGCGAGAGGAAGGGCCGGTGAGATGCCTCCGCGGGCGAAAAGCGGACGGGCGGAGGCAGGAGGGAGAATCTCCGCAGGGACTCGAACGGAGTCGCCGGGTACCGCGGCGGCAGCGGCGGCGGCGGTGGCGGCGCAGCGTCGGTGGGAGACGGGGAGCGCGTGCCAAGGGATGGGTTCCCCATCGAGGAGCAGGGGGAGGACACCCGCACGGTCAGATCGAGCGGCAGCTCCTCCGATGATTGCGGCCGCTCCTCACTGCTGTTTTCCGACGCTGGGAGGAAGGAGCGAGAACGGGAGAGAGGCGCGCGTGTTGATCAACCCGAGGGGCAGCGAGGCCACAGGGCGCCGGCCGCGTGGGGTCCGAGCTGGAGCTTTGGAGGCGAGGGTTGGTGTATCACGTAGGGGAGTGGTGGTGGTAGTGGTTGGTTGTGCAATTGAGTGATTATATCGACTGCCAAAGTGAAGACGGCTATATAATCGCCACGCGGTCAACTTATCCGGGAAATTCATCGCAATCCATTGCAGTAAACGTGAATGGGCAACAGCTATATAATTCGGACTTCCATTGTTGTGCTTTTGTTAAATTATTGTGTCAGAACGATGACGAATATGTGAGCCACGACCATGACCATGTAACGATATTTAGCATAAAGGACTCAACTCGTTTGGCGGATCATATATCCAGTGTTTACATTCAGCCGGAATAATCCCTAACGCAGTTCCAAGAATACGTTTTGCAATGCCACATCCATTATCTCGTCTTATTTTGTCCATCAATTTTTTTCACGTGTTCATTAACAAAAAACACACACACACATCGGGTACAATAATATCGCATTCTTATTAAGGACATCTGTACCGTGGCACTCGAGTGGCAATGCCTTATGCCGATAATCCATACTCCATGTAGTGCCTCACGCACATAATCTGCACGAATCGCATATCGGGGGGGGGGAGGGGGCTTTGGGGGGGTAACTTTTGAGTGAGAAATGAAGACCTCCTGATATCGTGCGCCAATATCGTAGTATCGCCACATCGCGGCAACCCCATTATGGACACGGGAGGTGGGGGGCTGGTGTCACCGACCTGTGGAGGGCGCGCCCTCGTCCGCGCACGTCTCAGGAGAGGAGTCCTGCCAGTCGCGACACCACCTGCTGACCCAGCGCTTCTTCATCATGAAGGAGCGAGGCATGATGATGCTGCTGATGATGATGGTGATGCTGGTGATGCTGGTGATGTTGCTGCTGATAGTAATGATCTTAATGGTGGTGGTGGTGGTAGTAGTCGTCGTAATGTTAATACGTATTGCGGCTGTGAGGCTGACGATGTTGGTGTTGATGGTGGCGTTTGTCGACGGTGTTGTTCCTTTGGCGGTGTTAGTGGTATGCACGTATGTTGAACTTCTGTCGCACCGTACGTAGCGGTGTTGATGATGGTGGTGGTGTTGCTGGTAGTGTTTTGTAAATGTTCTCAGCTCTTTGGTCAGCCCAATGACCACCAAGATAGTCTTCTTCTGCTGCTGATGCTGTTAATGTTTATGTTGCGCTGGTAAAGTATTCTTCTTTTTCTTCTTCTTCTGATGATGATCACGATGCTCCTGCCACTGCTACTGCTGCTACTGCTTCTGCTGATGATTATTTCTACAAGCAGAAGAGCGACTCGCATCCGCGTGGGCCTCGGAACTTGGGTACGCGTCTCCGTCCGTCCGTTCACGCGCACGGACGCACGTGCACGGACGCACGCGCGCGCGCGCAACGCAAAACAAAACAAGCGACCCACACCCCAGCGGTCGATTGCGAGTTGTGAAACTCGTCGCGAGCGATCTCAGGCGAGGAGACGAAGAGAGGCGCGGCTCGCCCAACCTCGAAGACCAAGACCGGGCCACCCCGGCGAACGAGAAAGACGGGATGGCACGACGCTTGGAGATCACACGACATGGTTCCCCGAAATAACGGTGCCAATGCGATTGCCAAAGGGTGGCCACGCCACTGCTGGTTAAACCGGTTCATCATATTGGTTCGTTGCATCGCCCGGAGCGATTGCACACACGTACACACAACTACAACCCATAACTTCACAGAACAGGTATAAGTTTTGTTATTTACATTTTTGCATTCCTTCTCCCTGAAGTTTCACGCTCATTATGCATGCGCAATCCTGATCGTGTACGTGTAACCATCACTCACGCGCGCACTGGCTATTGTGAGGATAAAGTGTCGTCGTCTCAAGACAAAAACACATTACATTCATTTGTTCTGAGTCACGGGTGGCCAAACTGGAGAACGTGTTCCGCGAATTATGAGGTCCACTCTGGCTCCGTTCTTGTCCGAGTAATGTGAATGCTTCCATAAAAAAGTGCGTTCAGAGTGATTGGCTGCTCGACATTTCCACGTGTCAAGCCACTTCGTTGAGCTATCATTTTTGGCCAGGTCGCTTCTGAAAAAGAACTTTCTTTTTTTCTCTCCTGATGAAGATTGCTTGTGTTGCGATCGAAACGTCGTAGTTTTTTGTAATTTATTTTGTTCGACGTGACTTTACCGAAAGACCCAAAGAATAAAAGCTATACAGCTTAGTGGGCATATTAGTTATATCCATGTTGTATGTATGGATGTATGTATGTTGAACTTCTTTCGCACTGAATGTAGCCAACCGTGTTAATCGGAGGTCCGGGGGAAGGACAACAAACTAAACGTAAAAAGCAGTTCCAAAGGAATTCGTTTTCAACCTCGTTTGTAATTAGTTATTCGGGTCCGTATTTTTTGAAGCCACCTCATGAACAGATCACCCGTAGTGAGCCTTGTCTCCGTCACATCCCACAGACTCGACAGGCGTGAGCCTGCGCAGAGCTCGTAAGGTCGGCGTGTTGCCAGCGGGGTGCGGAACCGAGGTGGTGGGACATCAGGAAGCAGTGTAGCCAAATCGATTGTTGTATTATA